CCTGGGACTTGGGTGCTGCTGTTGTCACTATATGACAGTTGAGGCAACTGTAGCAGGGAGAAGTTAAGAGATTTGCCCAGGGTCCCACTGAGGGCAAGTCGGTGAGACTCAGCGCTCCACCCACTGCATCACCTGGCTGCCTTGAGGCAATCTGGAACAGCGCCCCTCAAACTACTCAAGTGTAACCTACCGCAGCTAGGCCCATACCCCAAAGAGATCAAAGAAAAAGGAAAAGACCCCTTTGGACACAAACAGTGATAGCAGCTGACTACATAGATCGGATTCTGTAAATGTGATATGCTATTTTGTATATCATTTTGGTTAACATTTATTATTATCATATAAGAAATGAGAAAATGGACAATTTTAGAGGAAACTGAGAAGACCAGCATGAACTGATGCAGACTGACGAGCAGAACCAAAAAAAAAAATTACTACAATGATTACTACATTAAAAAGAAAACAATTGTGAAAGACTTGAGAACTTTGATCAACACAAGGATAAACCATGCATTCACAAGAATGAAGATGAGGCCTACCATTTACCTCCGGAGAGAGGGGATAGACTTGCAATGCTGAAAAGCACATGGACAATTCGGGCATTTGTTTTGCCACAATATACAGATATATATTGAGGAATTTATTTTTCAGGATATTTTAAAATTTGCTAAATGGAAAGGGGAAGGGAATATAGTGTAGTATGGCCATGATTTGAACCCAGGCCTTCCAGCTCCAAATGCAGTCCCCACACCTCCATCTACTCTGCCACAATGTGGTTCAGCCAGGTTCTGCTCTTCTAGTCACATGTCATCTTGCTAAGGTCCCTCCTAAAGTGAGAGGCCCAGCATGGAATATGACCCTCCGTATGTGGCCACCCAGCACGGGACAAAGGTATGGAGGCTGCTCTGTCACGCTGCTCACTGACTCACCACAAGGCTCTTGGAGTCCATTTAAACCCATTGTCTTTCCAACCAGCTCTAGACCAGCCCTTTGTCCCTTATCTAGTACCTGGGGAGTTGACTTTTTGTACCCAGACACAGAACCACACATTGATTCCTGTTCATCTCATCGATGTCTGAAATTCTCTTCCTTGTACCATGTCCTATTCATCCAGCTCCTCTGCCTCCCTCTTCCCATCATGTTCTTCTTTATGCTTGTTGCATTCTCCAATTCCCACCTACCCCACCCCCGCTCCATGACCTCCCCAGCCCTCCCTGTTCACGCTTCCCTTTCCTCTCTTCACAGACTGAACCCTTAGTGGGCCAGTTCAATCATACACTGTCCTCCACCCTTGAATCTCTTGGTCCTGCATCTTGCCACCATTCACACCCTGTCAATCCTCACCCCAGCATCACTCCCGCCATATGCCTTCTCTGCTCCTCCTCCCATGATGAGGGCCTCGAGGAGGGGTCATAAGACTCTGTCAACTATGAGTGCTAGAACCCAAGTCAGGACCCAACAAGGCCCACCCTGCTGCACTGCAAGGCTTTTCTTCCTTCCCTGTTTAACTGACAGCTCCAAACCTCCAAACTCTCCTCCTCTGAAGCCCCAAGGCCACCCCTCACCCTCCTCCACTCCTGCCAGACATTTATAAACTATGCTGCCTACCCTCCTGCCATGCCCCTCATCTCCCTACCACCCAAACCATAGCCTACCCCTGGCATGCTGGGCTCTCAGAGCTGGGTGAGCCTTAACCTGACCTAGCTCGAGGCAGGCCTCAGAGGACCAAAGATCTAGAACTTCCAGGGGCCTAGGAGGCCCTCATGTTACAAGGGAGCAAACTAAGGCCCAGAAAACTGAAGTGACTTGTCCAACGCCACAGAGGCAGCGAGCTCATGGGTGGGCTCTGAACCCAGGCCCCCACCCTTTGAGCTCTCTTTATGCTTGAGAACTTCCTTGAAAGCAGGTCCCATGCTGCTTGCACAGTGCATGGCACACAGTAAGCACTTAATAAATGCTTTTCCATTTGATTATTCATTCATTCATAGCAGAGGGTTTCCCTGCCAGCTCTCCTGAAAAAATCAATGCCAACCCTAAAGGTTGCCTCATGCCTCTTACACCCCTGCCTGGATGCCTCTAGAGAGCTGTTCCAGCCTTTCTTTCTCCACTCCAGACCCAGAAGATTTGGTCCCTGGGCCTCCCCAAGCCTGCCCCAGGGCTGGTCCCATAGATCACTGCCCTTCATCTTGCCATCTACCGATTCTTTCCCCACTGACTTGTAACAAAACAAAAACGCCTTCTTCCCTAGACTCACTGCAACCCCCTTCTGCACCTCTACCTCTCCTCCCTTCCCAGCTAAGCCCCGAGAGCCCCCTGTCCCTTCGCTGCCTCTGCTCCCTCAGCAGCCCCCCACTTCTAAGGCCATTCTAACCCTCAGCCGAAGCCACTGTCTCCAAGGTTAGCGCTATCTCATAAATGCTAAAGGCTCTGCCTAGTCCTTGTCATCCTGGACCATTGAGCACCTTTAATGAATTTAAAGTCCTTCACAGCCAGGCTCCCTCTCCTTCACGTACACCTGCCAGGGTCCAGCCAAAGGGCTCCAGCACCGCTCCCCCAGACACCTCAGTGGGCTGTGCCTCGAGTCCACTTCCCCCTCACTCCTGACTCAGAGGACTCTAAAATGCTTCCTTCAAGGCTCAGCACCAATGCCATCTCGAAATCCTCCCAACGGCTGATCCATCCCTTCTTGCCCATCATCCCCCTGCCAAGAAATTATTCTATGTTCTGCACACAGCACAGAGCCTGGCACAGAGTAAGTGTCGAATACATTTCTCCCTGATTAATGTCTCTCTTCCTAGATGGCCTATTACTCTGGTCTGAAGAAATAACTTTGGATCTTGGCCCTCTTGTTTCATATGCTAGCTCTGCCTCCCTGCTTGATGTCATTCTCAAAAGTAATGAGTACCAAAGCTATCGAGAGTCAGATGAAAAAATGTTCTCAATCACTACTGATTAGAAAAATGCAAATCAAAACAACTCTGAGGTACCACATCGCACCTATCAGACTGGCCAACATGACAAAACAGGAAAATGACACATGCTGGAGAAGATGTGGGAAAACTGAAACACTAATGCATCGTTGGTGGAGTTGTGAAATGATCCAACCATTGTGGAGAGCAATTTGGAACTATGCCCAAAGGGCTAGAAAATTGTGTATACCCTTTGACCCAGCAATAACACTACTAGGTCTGTACCCCAAAGAGATTATAAAAACAAGAAAAGGACCCACATGTACAAAAATATTTATAGCAGCTCTTTTTGTGGTGGCAAAGAAATGGAAATTGAGAGGATGTCCATCAGTTGGGGAATGGCTGAATAAGCTGTGCTCTATGAATGTAATGGAATACTATTGTGCTATAAGAAATGATGAGCAGGCTGACTTCAGAAAAACCTGGAAAGACTTAATATGAACTGACGCTGCGTGAGGTGAGCAGAACCAGGAGAACATTGTACAAAGTGACAGCCACATTGTGGGATGACTAACTTTGAAAGACTTGGCTCTTCTCAGCAATGCAAGGATCTAAGACATCTCCAAAAGTCTCACAATGGAAAATGCTACCCACATCCAGAGAAAGAACTATGGAGTCTGAATGAAGATCGAAGCATACTATTTGCTCCCTTTTTCCTTTGTTGTTTTGTTTTATTGCTTCATTCTCGTGGTTCCTCCTATTAGTTCGAATTGTTCTTTACATCATGACTAATGGGAAAATATGCTTAATATGAATGTATAAGTAGAGCCTATACCAGATTGAACACTGTCTTAGGAGGGGTAGAGGAGAGAGAGGTGGGGAAGTGAATGTTGAAAACTAAAAATCAATAAATTAATTACTTTTAAAAAGTAATAAGTACCTCCTCAGTGTCACCATCCAAGGCACAGAGGGCCCAGGACAGATCCCCACGGCACTCCTGTAGAGACTTCTCTCCAGGATGACATTTACCCATCAGTGAGTACTAAGTCTTTGAGACACATTCTACATTGATCTAACTGGACCAGAACCTGGCCCGTGCCCGTATCACACCGACTGCGGGAGACCCTCCTCAGGTCACTGGTTCTTTTCCAGAACAAAGACTACACGACAACTGTAGCACTTAAGAGAGCTCTCCCACTCTAAGGCAGGACTATCAAAGCTGAAAACTCCCAGACTTCTGAGCAAGTGTTTTCTAAGCAGATCCTTCTCCTGTGCCTAGAGATGTCAGCTTATTAGAATGCAGGGGGAGCAAGGGATCCAGACAAAACCTTTATGGCAAAGCTGTCTGGTGACCGGGGGGGGGGTGGTTGGGGGGTGTTCCTTCTTGTGCATCCCCCAGGGAAACCTCTTGTGTCCTGGTTAGTACTGTGAGCTGCCCGAGGACTCAGGCACAAAAGACACCTCAGGGCAGGACAAGAGGGTCTTTATGTTACAAAGCCACCCACACATGAGTCCTTAATATCTTCTGAGCCCTTCCAGATTCTCTGCTGGCCTCGCTCAGAGGCTGGAGAACTCTGGCAGTCACTGCCTCAGGACCCCTGCACCTCCAGCTAGACCAGAATTCAGAAAATTCCATCAGATTCTATCAATGGGGCCTCTCTGTTTCCATTGGGCAGCTGTCCTGGTAAGAGACAGACCATCTAACAGGCTGCCACTAAGCTAAAGATACCTTTTAAATGCGCCTACACAGAAAATTCAGGGAGCTGGAATTCCAGGCGTATTGCCAAGATTAAATGTGACAACCAATGTGAAAGTACCCTGAAGAGGACAAAGAGCTTACCCAGTTCTCTTTATCCGCTAAATAGTGCCCCCATCATATTTCCCTAAATGCACACACACACACATGCACACACACACACACACGCACACATGCACGCACACACACGCGCACACACACACACACACACACACACACACACACACACACACACACACTCTCTCTCTCTCTCTCTCTCTCTCTCTCTCTCTCTCTCTCTCTCTGTGCACAAGACTGAGCAGACTGAGACTACTCGGAGAGACAGACCCACTCACCCAAAGTATCTGAGTCGTTTTCCACCGTCTCATTCACCTTCCTGGCAACTCTGGCAACAGCTTCACCCATTTTCTTCAGCATGCAGACACAGTCCTTTCTGTCAGGGAAGCACCGTCAATCGGTCGTTCAGGGAGGGGGACCGAGAGTACCAGCTGCTGAGGAAAAAAGAGAAGGCAGTGACGATCGACTGCTCAACAGCAACCAGAAAGGGCCACCCCACATGGACGCGCACATACACAGGCAGGCAGGGGCCTCTGAGGGTCTTCCCAGGATGGCACTGAAGCCACTCACCTCCACCCCTGGAGAGTCCAGAGCCTCAAGTGACCATGCGCAAACTCCCACTGCTTTCCCTTGGGACATGAGGAGCGAGTCAGGTCACACTAGGCTGCCGAGAAGAGCAACACTGGTGATGTCAACAGGCATCCAGAGCCAGGGGAGAAACCAGAGACAGCAAGATGAGAGCAGGGGCTGCTAGCCCCTGGGTGTGGGCTGTGAATCACCTGGCTGAGGCGTCCGGCTGCCAACACCAGAACTGGAGCCAGGAGAGGCCTCTGCCACTGGGAACAGGCACACCTCGGTGACTCTTCTAGGGCCTGAACAGGAAGGTCATGAGGCTGAAATGGGATTCTTAGCCCTCTGCAGGACACACGGAAGCCCTTGGGGCAAGGCCCATTCCACTCTACCAACTCACCCTGACTACCTCCCTGACCAGAAAAATTCCTCTCTCCCCAACTCAGACTAACTCCTTTGGATTAAAGTATCCAATCTTCCTAAATATCTTTTAAAATGCAAATATTTTGGTGTAAGCTTCGGGCCATTATTAGTCATTCACACTGTAATTGGTTTATAAGTTTAGCTAGACACCTCCAGAAGCCCAAAGAGAATGGGCCACAGCTCAGGTAAATCCCCAAAGGTCAAAGGGGAAGGAGGGAGAAAAAGTACAAGGCTAGAGAAAAGAATGCTTCAGAATCCTCCCAAGAGCAGCCCAGGGCTTGAGCCTCAACCCTATGAGATCAAGCCTTCAAACCAAGGGATTGGGAGAATGAGACACCGAAGAGGAAATATCCCTTGAGCAGCATCCGAATTCTACCACATAGGAGGGTCCAACACAATCACTTTGAGACCAGAAGATCTAGGCCAGGGGGAAGGGAATAAGCATTTCTGTATACAGGCAGACCCCGGAGATATTGTGGTTCAGTTCTAGACCACCACAATAAAGCTGAATAGTGCAATAAAGAGTAACAAGAATTTTTTAGTTTCCCAGTGCACATAAAAGTTATGTTTATACTATACTGTAATGTATTAAGTGTGCAACAGTAGTATGTCTAAAAACACAATGCATATACCTTAATTTAAAAAATTTTTTTTGCTAAAAAATGCTAACCATCAGTAAGTCATAATAGTTTTGCTGGTGGAGGGTCTTGCCTCAGTATTGACAGCTACTGATTCATCAGGGTGGTGGGTTTGTGTGGCAGCTTCTTAAAATAAGATAATGAATTTTGCCACATCTGTTGACTCTTCCTTTCACCTGAACACTTAAAGGCCATTGTAGAGTTACTCACTGGCTTAATTTTAATATTGTTGTGTTTCAGGCAATAGAGATGCCCAACACAGAGGGAGAGAGATGGAATGGCCAGTCAGTAGAGCAGGCAGAATACACACATTTATTAAGTTCGCCATCTTATATGGGTGTGGTTTATGGCTCCCCAAAACAATTACAATAGTAACACTGAAGATCACTGATCACCATAACAGATACAGTAATAATACAAGAGTTTGAAATATTGTAAGAATTACCAGAATTACAGAGACATGATGTGAGCATATGCCATTGGAAAAATAGTGCCATTAGACTTGCTCAGTGCACGGTTGCCACAAACCTTCAATTTGTAAAAAAAAAAAATGCAATATCTGAGAAATGTAATAAAACAAAGCACAATAAAATGAGGTATGCCTGTATTTGTTGTGGTTCAATTGTTTCAGTTGTGTCCAACTCTTTGTGACCCCATTTAGGGTTTTCTTGGCAAAGATACTGGAGTGGTTTGCCATTTCCTTCTACAGCTCATTTTACAGATGAAGAAATTGAGGTAAACAAGGTTAAATGACTTGCCCAGGAACACACTAGTAAGCTAGTAAGTAAGCCAGATTCGAACTCAGGAAGATAAGTCTTCCTGACTCCAGGCCCAACACTCTATCCACTGTGCCACCTGGCTGCCCAAGTATAAAACCTAGTAAATGCCAGGTGCCGTGCTAAGAGCTTTACAAATACTATCTCATTTAATCTTCAAAACAAGCCTGGGAGGTAGGTGCTGTTATTATATCCCCATCTTACAGTTAAGGTAAATGAGGCAGACGATGATGTGCCAAGGTCACATAACTAGGAAAAGTCTGAAGCCAAAGTCAGATCTTCCTGAGTCCAGGCCCAGCACTCTAAGCTGATGTGCCAACTGCCTGCACCTCCCCTCCCTGCAATGGAACCCTTACTGGGACGGGACCCTTGACTTTGGTATCCAATGGGGACAACTAGTGCAGGGCAAAAGCTCAAAAACTTTCAGGAGCTCCCTGTCAAAAATAAGATAATGCTCAAGATTCTCTGCCTGGCATTCAAGGCCCTACACAATATGGCTCCATCCTACCAGTATTATCTCATAGCATCCCTTCCAAGAACTCTAAATTCTAGCCAGACTGGATTTCTCTCCATCCGCCAAACAAATTCCTCACTGCTCCACCCTCCTGCCTTTGTTCCTGCTGTTTCTCACCACCCTTTAAAGTCCATCTCCGATGTCACCTCTTCCAGGAAACTCTCCCTGATCCCCCAGGAATAAAGACCATCCCCACTGCAGCTCACACGGCATTTTATTTCATAACTCTCTAATACATTTATCACGGACCTTGGTCTATGCCGAAAGGTACCATGACAGAGCAGACTGAGAGCCGGCCTCAGAATCAGGGGAGACATGGCATCCTCTCACCACCCAACTTCTCCTTCTTTGTTTCCTGGCAACAGGCTGACTGGGTCCCTTATTTATTATCCAATTTCAGCTGGGCCTTCACTTTGGCATTCTGCCCCCCAGTTCTGATTGGTGAAGTCCTCGGGGAACCTACATTTTGAGGATGTACACAGGTCATGCATGCTCACGCCTTCACTCTCTCGACTCTCTGGACTTCTCCAATACAGCTCCATGTGGACAGCCTCCCCTCTCCCCTTTTTCTGCTCCCCTTTGGGTGTGATCTTCTCCCTTTAGAAGGTAAGCCCCTTGTGGGCAGGGACTGTCTTTCTTGTGGCTTGCATTTTTCTCCCTGTGACTAACGCTGTGCCTGGTTTGTAGTAAGCACTTAATAAATGCTTATTGCCTTGACTCATTCCTCAGGGACAATCCTTGTATTCTTCCTTAACCACTCCCCGAAGTTGATTCCTTCCCCCTTCCCAACCACTGCTCCCCTATCAGCAGACTCTCTCCCACTTCTAGCTCCCTCGTCTCCCCAGTTCCATGTTAAACCACCTCAGCAGGATCCAGGACATGCTGCCCACTTCCTGACTTAGAGCTGATGGACTCAAGGCCCAGATGGAGACAGTGTCTGGACACGGTCAATGCAGGAATCTGTTTTGCTTGACTGTGTATATTGGTTACTGGGGCTTTCTTTTTCTTTTTCAATTGGGGTGGGGGGAGATGGAAGGGAGAGAAATTTTTGTAAATTAAAGAAAATAGTGTTTAAAAATAATTTCAGTATCATTCTTCATCCTAGTCTCTGCTCCAGTCTTAGAGGATGACGTGGCCCTTTTTCTTACTAAGGTCAACCCATCTACCGGTATCCTTGTCCCCTCCCATCTCCTCAGGCAGCTTGCCCCTTGGATCATTCCTCTCTGTCTCTCTAATTTTCTACCTCTCCTTAGACATTGGTTCTTTTCCTGGCCGTCTTCAAACACACTCTGACCTCCTCCATCCTATAAAAAAAAATCCAACTTCACTAAGCAAACCAACCCCTCGGACTATTGACCAATTATCTCCATCCCAACAAAGCCAAACACTAGAGAAAAATCTGGTGGCTTCCTCTTTCTCACCTCCCACCCACTTCCCAATCCAGGGCAGTGTCTGTTTGTCTGTCTGATTCCTGGTGTCACGGTGAGAGGACCTGAGTTTAAATCCCAAAGCTGACAGTGCCTAACTATCCTTGGGCACAGAACAGTAGCCCATCGGCACCAGTATAAGAGGGCTTCCTCACTGGAAATCCTAGTTTAGTGAAGGACAACCTGAGCCAGAGGGTTAAGTGACCTGGTCCAAGTCACAGAGCTCTTAAATGTCTGAGGCAGGATTTGGATTCAGGTCTTCCTGACGCCAGGCCCAGTAATAGAGCAGCAAGTTCAGGAGGCAGCCCCAGACCAGGGCCAGAACTCCCTAGATAGTATTCCCAAACATCTTAGGAATACACATATATATTGGGGCAGCTAGGTGGCACAGGGGATAGAGCACCAGCCCTGGATTCAGGAGGACCTGAGTTCAAATCCAGCCTCAGACACATAACTCTTACTAGCTGTGTGACCCTGGGCAAGTCACTTAACCCCATCGCCTAGCCAAAAAAAAATATATATATATATATACACACACATACATATACACACACATATACACACACAGACACACATACATATTTTACACACAGTGAGCCCACAACATTTTCAGGCCACATCATCAAGGGAAGGACCCAAAGACCCTTCTCCTAAGCTGCTCATCAAACCAGTCCTCCATGCCTGGAATGGCCTCTAGAGGCTTGATCCTGGGGAGCCTCCTCCAGGAGCCTCCTTGCCCTTAGCCATCTACTCACCCTCAGCAAAAATGATCTTGCCCTCCTCAGGTTTCTCAGCACTTTGCCTGAACTTCTTGTCCACACACCTCTCTTTTCTGGAGCTCGCTCATTCAACTGTAAGTTCCTAGAGAGTAGGACCTGCCTTGTCTATCTTTGTATCCCCAGGTCCTGCCCACCGTAGGTGCTCGTCAAATATCTGTCAAATGGAATTCAGTGATTTCACAGTGTACAACTGTAGGGAATGGGCTGAGGGGTGCAGAAAATCCAGTAACATGTCTCTGCTCCCAAGGTCAGAGGTTCCTAATTGGGGAGTCCAGTGAGCTTGTTTTTTAAAAAATATCTTGACAACTCTAATTCAATCTAATTGCTTTCTCTCATAATCTTCTGAATTTTACTTCATACATTTACAAAAATGATTATGAGAAGGGTGCCACAGGCTTCACCAGACTGGGCCAAAGGGGTCTAGGACCCAAAAAAAGTGAGCACCAGCTGCCTGACAGCCGCCCTTCCTCTTATGTCCCAAAAGCCCAGGGACGTATGCAAAGGAGCTGCCTCTAACACCTCCTCTTGTCACCAGCTGCTCCTATATTTAGTTACTGGTACAGGCACAGGAAACTTGAGCCTCTGGGCAGCCACAGGGAAACCCAAGCAGGGTGACACATCCTTTCATCCTTCCTAGGACTGCAGGGCAGCAATATTTCTAATACGACTGACTCTGTAACAAAAAGGAGGCTAACAAACAGGAAGCTGACCATTCCCAGAGTCTAAGCTGAGTAAAGGAGCCCCCAAACTGAGCTGCCTCAGTTTCCCAGGCCTGGAAATGGGCCTTAGGGTGGGAAAAACAGTAGTCTTTGAATCTGGGTAACTTGATCAAGAACTTCTGCCTGAACTACCCAGTGCCAGGAAGACCCCAACAGTGTCCCTCATAATCCTCCCTCCTTCCCCTACTCCAACAACAGCATTTCCAGGGCTCTCTATTCACCTCCATAGTCCAGCCAAGGCACTGGCCTTTGGATAGCAAGAGACAAAGAGTCCCAGAACTCAACAGCAAAAGACCTGGGTTCCAACGCCCTCTCTGCTACTTGCTAGTGGGGGATTTCCAGCCAGTCCTTTCCCTGCTCTGGGCCTGTTTCCTTACCTGGAAGACATCAGAGGGTGGGTCCTTAAGTCAGAGAGACAGCATGATCAGTCTGGTGATGTCTAGAATCATATCTGTAAATGTATAAAGTAAAACAGACAGAATTACAAAGGAAACAATTAAATTGAAATATCATCAATTAAAAAAACAAGGTTCACTGGACTCCAGGTGGAATAATGGTAGTTAACATCTATATAGCAATTTAAAGTTTGCAAAGACCTTTACAAATATTATTTCATTTGATCCTCACAACGATCCTGGGAGATTGGGGCTAAACTGAGGCAGGCAGAGGTGAAGCGGCTTGTCCTGGGTCCCACAGCTGGATACATCGTGTGACCCTGGACAAGTCCCTTCTTGTCTGGGAGCCTGTTTCCCCATCTGTCAAATAACTCCCAGGCCAGGATGCTAAGGTGATATCCTCAGGGGCTCTAGGGTACAGCCTGCAGGCGGAGGGGGAGTCCTGGGCCCGCCCTCCCCCCAGAACGGCCGCCATAGCCCTCCACTCTGTTCAGGTAGCTGGCCGAGATTGCATCGCTGGCCCCGCCCCCGGGGAGGTAGCTCTCATCCCGACCCCCAGGCTTCCAGGGCCCGCAACCAGGCTGGGGGGGAGGTGCCCAGATGGCAATGGGGCGGGGACGCGGCTCGCGTCGGTTCCGCCCCTAGGAGGCGGGGACAAGCCTGGGGCGGGGCCCTGCAGGCGGCCCTCCTCCTCCTTCACTCCCTTCCCAGTTACCCCTCCCCCTCCCGAAGTCTCCTCGCGCTGCCTACGTCACGCGGCGGTTCCCTCTCTTCCTCTTTCTCTTTTCTTTTTTTTTTGCCAGGGCACAGAGAGGGGCCGCCCGCCGGGGGTCTGCCTTCTCCTCCACTTACAGTGAGACTGTCTCCGGCCCCCTGCGACCGTTGCGCCGCACTTCGGCTCACGACAACCGCCGCCGGCCCCTTGCTCCGGAGCCGGCGGGAGGGAGGGGGAGAGGGCAGGGCACGCGCGGTCCTGGGCGCGCGCAGCCAGCCTCGGCCAATCCGCGACCGCGAGAACCGCAGGAGGCGCGCCTGTAGTCCGAGGGCAGCCAATCAGCGCTCGGCAGCCCCACCTGGGGCTGGAAGAGAAAAGGACCGAGAGAGAATGAAGCGTGTGCGCGCTCCCTCCTCTCCCTCCCCCTCCCCCTCCGGTGCAGCGTCGGGCGCCTCCCTGGCCGGGGGAGAAAGGAACCGTTGGGAGGGAAGGGATGGATGGAGGAATGATTGGAGAGATGGATGGGTAAATGGATAGAAGGAGGGATGTGTGGGTGCATGGATGGAGAGGTGGGAGAAAGGGAAGGATAGATGGATGGATAAGTGCCTGGGGAGAATGGATGGAAGGATGAATGAAGTCCATTATTAAGTGCTTTCTCCGCGCAACTTAGTACCAAGTACTAAGCTGGAGACACAAAAAGCAAAGCAAAACAGCCCTGCTCTGCAGAAGCTGGCATCCTCGGAACGGGGTGGACCACGCGTAAGGACGCTACGGGCTGAGCACCGCTGCCGTGGCTAGCATTCAGAGAGCGTGTTAAGCTTTGCAAAGCGTTTTATCTCATCGGAACCTCCCAACAACCCTGTGGCGTAAGCGCAGGGAATGCAACCATTTAAAGAGAGGAAACTGAGCCTGGGGAAGGTTAATATCGGAGTTTAAACTCTTGACTTCAAGTACCTCTCTCTGCCACCTGGGATGCGGCTAAAGAGAGACCACAGGCTGTGATGTGTTCTCTGGGCCATCCACGCTCTCCCTACAATGCCTTACGCTGGTTAGTTTAGGAGGCGTTTTGCAAAATGCCCCGACAGCGGGGAATCTCACGCTCTGGAATCCAACCAAGCTGACCTACTTATAGCTTCCTTGAATTTTTGCTTGTCTTAGAACTGTTTACCTTGGCACAGGGTTTCCTCCGTTCCTGAACTACACATTCCCTCCTCAAGGCTGCCTCTTGGCATCTCTGCCTTCCTCCAAGGGACCGTGTTCCGCGGGAGACCTTTCCTTTAATGGTCAGTACGCCTCTCTCCTCAAAGTATCTGGTATAAAAAGAGATTCAGAGCAACATGGGAAGACTTATATGAACTGGTTCAGAATGAAGTGAGCAGAACCAGGAGAGGAATTTATGTAGTAACAGCAAACAACTTTGAAAGGCTTAAAAACTGAATAATGAAGTGAGCAACCGGGATTCCAGGTGAAGCTACATTTTTTGGATTTGACCAGTGGAGGAAGTTGTTTCGATTGACTATGCGTGTTTTTACAAAGGTTGTGTTTTTCTTCCTTTTTTAATCTAAATTGGAGGAAGAGGTGGGAGGGAGAAAAAATAAATACTTATTAATTGAAAAAATTTTACCTTTTAAAATTATCTTGTGTATACTTATCTGTATGTACATGCCCTTCCTGCCTCTTCCCCAAGCCCCTCAATACAAGGCACAAAATACACAAAATTACAAAGGAAATCGATTATATTGAAATATAATTATCTAACTTTTTAAAAATCTTGTTCAGGGTCTGCAGGTGAAGAATGCCTGTGGGAAAGGGAGTTCCCATACCCTCTTTGTTAGGGAATCCCTAACAAGTTGATGATATCACAGGTCCAAGCAAAAATCTGGTTTACTGATTTTTAGATGTATGAGAAGGCTTCCTAACAGTGGCAGGTACTCCAAAGAAAAATAGACTGTCTCAAGAGGTAATTACTAGTAATACTAACTGCCACTTATGTGGTACTTCAAGGGTTACCAAGTGTGTGATACACATTGTATTTTTGGCTCTTTATAATCACACTGTGAGGTAGCTGCCACAAGTATTTATTATTATTATTATTATTATTCCATTTTCCAAATTGGGAAAGTTGGTTGTGTAAAAGTGAAGTGACTTCTCATGGTTCCACATTATGTCAAATGAGTTCTTCATCTTGAGAGATGCTCAAGCAAAGGATGGGAAAGGATTTGTCAAGTATGTGGTTGGGGGGTGGGGAGGTCTTGTTCTTACAATTGATGCGTTCCATGGCCTCCAAGTTGCTTTCCAGCTCTGAGATTCTGGGATTCTGAGCTGTCTACTTCCTTGAATTTCCATTGCTATGGACAGCTTCTAAGAACAAAGTTGACTTCCCAGGGTTTAAAGGTGACATATCAAAGCCCAGCAACAGGGCTATAGAGAAGTGAAGCTGAGGCCATTCCCTTTCCAGAGGGAGACTCCTCCATCCCTTCAACCCAAGACCCTTGTGACACTGTCTCCCTGGACACAGTGAAGTGGCCATAACCCCTAACCTGCAGCCACAAGGCTGGTCAAGCCAATGGTGATCTCTGTGCAGTTGTCTAGGCTAGCAGCCAAGCCTCCTGCAGCCCCTGAAAGCCCCTACTGTGTGCTGCCTGAAGAGAGGACACATCTTGTACAATGGCAGTGTTACTGTCTCCATGGCAGGCTCCATGGATGAAGTGAAGTATAAGTCTTCCAGGTCTGAATTGATGCTTCTGTGACCAGCAAGACCCAAGAAGTTGCCGGTGTATCTGCTCCTTTATCAGCCACTTCCATCCTCAGGGCCTGTATAGATGTGACCATCCCTCAACACTCGGGCCAGGGTTTGAAGGAGTCCTGTGTGTGTGCTGGAGACAAACTAGACAGAATGCCAGAGATTGGGTTCTTTCCCACTGAAGGATTCCCCAGAGCTCAAAGACTTCTCTCGTCTTTCTTTGACTTCTTCTTGGAGGCCATAAGATCCAACAACAATCCCCCTCTGCCCCATACCCAATAACTTCTTTGATCCTGCTGGTCGCCGAAGCATCGTTTTAGAGCCAGAAAGACTTTGGTATCACTTCATCCATCCTCCTCCTCTTACAGATGGGAAAACTGAGGTGCTGTGGAGTTAAATGACTTAACATCACACGGTAGTAAGTGCCAGGATCAGGATTTGAACCCAGACCCTCTGACTTCAAATTCCAGACGCCTTCCACTGAACTGTCTTTCAAATGAAAACAAAACAGGATACATTCTCAATTAATTTGACCCTAACCCCTGATCTCCATTTCATTCTTTACTCTGTCTTCTGACTAGATGACATTGGAGCTGAAATGGGCTCCACATGACAAGACAGGAAAGTAGGAATTTTTGTACCCAGGACAATCTGCATGAAGCTTTTTTGTAACATCAGAGATTTAGAGCTGGGAGGGGTCTCAGGGGCCCTCTCACTCAACCTCTTCATTTTACAGACAAGGAAAAGTAAGCCTGGAGAAGCTGACCTGACCAAGATCACACAGGAAGTATCAGAGGTTGGATCTGAATACAGGTCCTCTGCCTCCAATACCCATGTTCTTTCTCCTCTACCAAGATGCCACCCTAGTGGGCTATGAGCAGGGCACGATGCTAGGGTAGGAAGACCAATGCTTCTACTTAGAACTGATAAGGGAGAAGAAAAGAAAAGGAGGAGAGAATCTTAACCTACCACTTGGTAGTTCTGTTCTCATTAATTATTCCTACTCACTAGATGCCCAGGTCTGTAGTTTCTACACCACTGAAGGACTACAAGGGTTTACATAGTTTAACTTCGGTGCCCTGGACAAAGTCCCCGTTGTCCACCCTCTCTGGTTATTGTCTCCACCATGAGTCTTTCTGTTCCAAGTCAGACCAAAAGAGAGGATGGTGGCCCTCCTCAAGTTGGGCATTTTCAGAAATCAGATGACCTCAGTACTTCTAGAAGAGAGAGTCAATTCGGTTCAACAAATAGCTTTTAAGAGCACATGTCAGGCACTGTGTGAGGCCTGGCAATATAATGCTGAAACTGAAATGGTCTCTGCCCCCAAGGAAGAAGCTTGGATCAACTCCTCAGCAAGCAATCATTCAGTAAACACTCAGTGCCTATTATTAGCTTATGGGTCATAAATTTAAGACTGGAAGGGACCTCTGGCCACCTAATCCAACCTCCTCATTTTACAGAGTGAGGAAAGTGGGGTCTGGTGAGGTTAAGTGTCTTGGAGCAGAATGTTTTGTGTCCCTAATGCCTAGCACAGTGCCTGGCATGCTGTAGGTGCTTAATAAAGGCTTGCTGTTTGATTTCTCTACTGACTTTTTTCTGTTTTATTTTTTATTTCAAATCCTCCTCCCCTCCCCCACTGTCCCTGCCATTGAGAAGGTAAGGAAATCAAAACCTACTACAAATATGTAGAGCCATGCAAAACCAATTCCCATATTAGCCATGTTCCCCACCCACCATACTGTCACCCCACCTCCCCCCGAAAAAAGAAAAAATTGTGCTTCAAGCTCCACTCTTGAGTCCATCGGTTCTCAGTCTGGCGGTGGGCAACATGTTTCATCTGGAGTCCTTTGGAACTGTGGTTGGTCATGGAGCTGAACGGAGTTACTGAATCTTTCCAATTATCTTTACAATAATGTTACTGTGTAAATTGTTTCCTGGTTCTGCTCGTTTGACTTTGCATCAGTTCATACAGGTCTTCCCAGGTTTCTCTGAAATCATCCTCTTCTGATGTCATTCCTTACATCTGCTAACATCCTTTATGCCACGCTTCCTATCTATTGTTCAGGATCACAGATTTAGTGTGGACCTGGACAGGACCTTCAAGGTCAGCTAATCCAACTCCCGAATTTTATAGAGGAGAAAACTGAGGCCCAGAGTAGTGAAGTGCCTTCCCCAAGTCACACAGACTCTTCCTGTGCATGGTATACACCTCTCCATTGCCCTTCCAGGATCTCTAGCTTCACCTCTTTGGAGACTCTACTAGTCCATAATTCTTAGCCAAATGATAGCACCAAATTAGTGTTATAGGGGGCAGCTAGGTGGCGCAGTGGATAGAGCACTGGCCCTGGATTCAGAAGGACTTGAGTTCAAATCCGGCCTCAGACCCATAACACTAGCTGTGTGACGCTGGGCAAGTCACTTAATCCATTGCCTGACCAAAAAAAAAAAAACTAAAAAAAAAAGAATGTTAGTGTTATAAACCTGGGGGAGATAAATCAACAAAATATTACACAGTCCCTGCCCTCATGAAACTTACATTCTACTGGGAGATATATGTAATGGGATGCTTGGAACTTTATGTAGTAACTGCAACCCAGCCTGTGAGGGCAGTGACACCATCCATTCCATATTTGGATGTGGAATACGACAGGACTTGAATCTAAGTCCCAGAGCACATGGTTAGGTGTGCTAGTTCTTGAAGGCATGCCTGCACCAACTCTCTGTTTCTGTTTCTCTCTCTCTCTCTCTCTCTCTCTCTCTCTCTCTCTCTCTCTCTCTCTCTCTCTCTCTCTCTCTCTTCCCTCCCCCCCAACCATTGCTCCTGAATGATCTGAACTGGGAGAGTGAAACAACTGGTTTGTCTGTTGAAAACCAGACTATGATTAAGGTCAAGGGAAGGAAAGTGAAGGAAAATGTTGGCAGGACTGATAGCTGCTGACTCTCACTAAGGAAAAAAAAATCAGCATTAGATGGAACTGGAAACCCTGTGTAAACCTTTAGAGAATTAAGTTTATTGCCTAAAGGGCATGGTTATGAGTAACAGATGGAAGTTTCAGAGAGGGAAGCTCTGTCTAAGAAAAAATATCCCTAAAATCAGAGCTGCCTCAAATGGAACATGCTGCTTTGGAAGGGAGGGTGAACCCTATCATAGATTAGGACCAGGAGAACTTACAGGCATCAGATCATAGGATCATAAGACTAATAGACCTCAGAGATTTTGAATCCAGTCCCTTCATTTGACAGGTAATGATAACAATAACTAGCATTTATAGAGTATTTTAAGGTTTGCAAAGCATTTTACGTATGTTAACGGTTTGTCTTCACACCTCGGTGAGATAGGTGCTGTTATTGTCTCCATTTTAGAGATAAGAAAACTCAAGGACTGTCCAGGGTCACAGCTAGAAAAGTGTTTGGGCAGGATTTGAACCCAGGACTTCCTGGCTCCCAGTTGAGTGCCCTACCCACTGTACCATACTTCCTCCTGTCTACTCCTCTCCCTTTACAGATAAGAAAACTGAAACCTAGAAAGTGGATTGTGCAGTTTGTCCTTCATTCTGGAAGAGGACCATGACGTTAGAGATGATGACACAACTTGCAATTGACTTTGATTGGAGTGAGGGAGGGCTGTGCAAGGGCACCAGCCCCACTTTCTCCTCCAGAGCCGTCTGGGTCCAGTGGCCAGATATTTATCGGGACAAGTGGAGATGGCCCAGGATGCAATGGAAGACCTTGGCCCCTTAAGCTAAGGTCTTTTCAGGTTCTCACTTTGAGTGAGGCAATGCCCATTCAGTGAATAGGCCTCTTTAAGAAGTGAGTCAAGGGATGGCCCTTTTAATTAAAAAA